CAGGAAATGACTGGAATGCCCCTGATTAGTGATGGGACACCCAGACAACTTAAAACACTAAACAAACTTAGGCCCATTAACACAGGCCCAGTACATAACAACTTAAACTCAAATACAGGCTAATAAGAACTCTTATCAGCCAAACCATCAATACATGAAAACCTTCAACCTAACAATATATATATATATATATAAAGAAGTAGCCCATAAGCAAGCTGCTTTGGTGACCTTGAGACTAAAAGTAAAAATAAAATGATTTAAAACCTTCAAAATACAAATATAAGGAAAAAAGCTTAATACATTAATCACACTACTACAACAAAAATTAATAAATGTCATTTTACAATTGACCCCACCCACTTAAATTTTCATCCAATTTCATTGGAGAGTGTGGGATCAACATGGAAAAATGGGTTAAAATAATACCTATACTTAGCCTTTTTTTTTCAACTTCAGTGGGATCAATTGACCCCACTCACATATATGTAGCTCTGCCCTTGAATGCAGCCGTTCCTAACAGACCTAACTACAAGATGTCTCCAAAGGAGCATGAAGAGTTGAGTGAGGTTGAAGAGCTTTTAGAAAGAGAGTTTGTTCGAGAAAGCATCAGTCCTTGTACTATACCCGCCCTTCTTGTTCTAAAGAAGGATGGATCATGGTGTATGTGCATCGATAGCAGAACTATTAACAAGATTACTATTAAATACCGCTTACCCATTCCAAGACTTACACCTGGGGTCTAACCACCTTAATAAGGTACCCCAAGTATAACTCAGTCCAAATCTTACACCAAAAATCTTTTAAGCCAAGCTTGACCAGGGAGATCTTCTTCTTGTTGGTTACCAGCTAACTGTATGGCCTGCTGATGTCAGCCATCAGCAGTTAGTTAATGTCCTTGAAACCAGAGCTGTATTCTCTGATACCAACTTGTAATTTACTAATTTTATGTGATAAAACTGAGTAAATAGCAAGAACCTGTGAATAGAAAGTGGAAGAGAGAGAATAAAGAGAAGAAGAAAGAGGAATAAGAGAATGATTTGGTGTATCAATCATACACATACACACAAAATTACAGAAGGTCCTTGATATCTCCATGTAATTACAATAATTTGAAATAAGGACTAAAACACCCCCAAACCTCTCAAGATTTAATTTGTTCATTTGTAACTATACTGTGCTGTAGATCACCCTTACTGTTTCTCCTCTCCTACTCCTGTCATGGGAAGTGGTGACTTTCTGATAAAAATATTAAAATCTCAGCTTTCATTGACTATATAGAGTGATGTTATTCATGCCTAATTTGTAACAGGAAAGAGGTATTTCACATTCCCGGTATGCTTCTAAGACGAAGAAACTGGAACTGGAATCTGTTGGTGGTTCCTCTGTTCCAGACTTGGATATTAACCACTGCAGTCAGCCAAATGGTGGGGAACTAGTGGAACCTATCAGTTATAAAAAGCTAAAGACAATTGAAAGGCTGTTGCCTGTGGAGTCAATAGCAGATCCTTCGCTTGCAGGGGATTGTTCTCATAAAGTTTCTGCTCCTGAACTCAGTTCATCAGGTATTGACCTCCTGGTCATATTCTAGCTCATTTGTTGAAGAACTTGAAGCAAACTAAATGATAGATGATGCTTAGAGGTAATGTACTATGAGAAATGTCTTAGCTGTTTGTTCTCCTATGTAATTTTGAATTCTCACTAGTGCAGGGTTTTTGCATGTGGTAGCTAAGTGCTAAGACCAACTTAAAGCTAAGGTTCAGAATTCTCATTTGTTTTGCTTTTTAGTCCCTGTGGGCAAGGTTCAGAATAGTGTTGATCCGTGCAGCATAAGGTTCCCTTTTCATTCCAAATTTCAAATATGGAGGGAAAAAGAAAGGTTGGCTTATGCTATAGAGTCTATGAGTGTGATTCTGTACTTCAGAAGAAAAAAGGGCTATTGAAATTTAAGTGATATGTTCTGCATATTGTGCTTAATAATGATCCTTGGATCAGGGGCAGAGAGCCATGATTCTTCATATTTTTCTTTTTGTCCTTTTCTTTTTTTGTGGGGGGGGGGGGGGGTTGTGGAGGAGGTGCATGGCCACCTGGCTCTTTTGTCTTCTCTTGCAAGTTTTCTCAATTCAACCACTAACAACCATTAAAGACATGGGAGAAAGCCATCATCGTATTTGATTCATTTATCTTGTTGTCTTCTCACTTGTAAACTTTCTCACCTTCTCTTTTATTTTATTTTATTTTTAATAGGATGTGTTGCCTTAGGTCGGCCCACCCTCTTTTAATTTATACTTAAGTGCTTAGAAGAATGAAATTACAATGATACCCCTGAACAATATTAAGTATTCCTGCTGTAATCAGTCATAAAATGATCAAGAGAAGAAGAGAAGAGAGGAAGGAAGAAAAAGAGAAAAATGAAATAGGAGAAAATTGGATGGGTTATTGGTGGCACCCACTTCACCCTAAAATATTATCAAAAATAATAATTACAGAGTGGTACCTTGAAAGAAGAAAAATAACAGAAAACCCCCTAGTGCCAAAAACATGTATAAAACACCCCTCATAATACTCCCCCTCAAGTTGGGTTATAGTAGATATTGCATACCCAACTTGATACAACTCTTCATAGTCTAGGGAATTCAATCCTTTTGTAAATACATCAGCCATTTGTTCTCTTGATTCAACAAAAGGTATACAAATTTCATCCCTCTCCACTCTTTCATGAATGAAATGCTTGTTAATCTCAATGTGCTTGGTTCACTCATGGAGAACTAGATTATGAGTAATATTGATTGCAGCTTTGTTATCACAGTATAATAACATAGGATTTGACTTCCACATACCCAACTCAGTAAGAAGATTTTTTAGCCACAACAGTTCAGCAACACCTTGAGACATAGCTCTAGTGTTTTAAAAGTGCAAGGCGCAAGGGTCAATTTGCGCCCAAGGCGCAAGGCACGCACCTTTTTGAAGCAAGGCGCAAAAAATCAAAAAATATTAAACATAATATTAAGAAAAAATATAAACTTTAAATTTTAAAATAAATGTTTTAAAAAACCTACTATCTATAATTAAAATACATGAACATAACGTGTAAAGGGTATTCAAATGTGAATTTAAAAATAAAATCAAACATATAAAACATTTTCAAGCATGTAAAACCCACAATCTCTTTTTTTTCCTCAATTGCATTACTTAAACTAGCTAATGTGATGTAAAACATATTACATTCCTGATTCTATGAGCCGCCTTTGTGCCACGCCCCTCGAGGCAAGCCCAAACAAGTCCATGTTAGGGTCCTAAATTCTTAGTTCTCACACAAAAAATAATGATTTTATAATTTTAATTGCTTTTTAAGATGTTTTAGTAGGACGAATGAATGAACAACATTACCAAGTAAGGGATTTTTTGTGTGAGAACTAAGAAGTTAGGACCCTAACATGGAGTTGTTTGGGCTTGCCTCGAGGGGCGTGGCATGGGGGTTCGGGGGTCAGCCATGAGGTTCAAAAAAGCATCAAACTTTCAAAAGGCACACACCTGGGCTGAGGCACATCAGGTGCACCAGGCGTGTGCCTTTTGAAAGGGCTGCACCTAGGACCTGGGTGAGGCACCTACCCTAAAATGCACCATGCTTGTACACCTAAGCGCACCTTTTAAATCATTGCATAGCTTTATACTCAGCCTCTGCACTTGACTTTGCCACTATAGACTATTTCTTACTCCTCCAAGTGACTAGGTTTCCTCCTAAAAATGTGCAATAACTAGTAGTAGACCTCCTATCATCAATAGAGCCGGCCCAATCAACATTAGTATAGCCTTCCACCTTTGTGTGACCATGCTTGGTAAAGAGGAGACCTGTACCTAGGTTTTTTTTTTTTAAATAAGCTAGAACTCTCTCAATATCCTTGAAGTGAGTGGGTTTAAGTGAGTGAATATACTGACCCGAAACACTCACAACAAAAGCAATATTCAGTCTGGTCATGGAAAGATATGGTAGCCTTCCAATAAGTCTTTGATATTGATGAACACTTGAAACTATCTCGCCCTCACAACTTTCAAGTTCATGACTTGGATCCATAGGAGAATCAACTAGTCTACACCCTAGTTTTCCAATATCCTTCAACAAATTAAGAATACGCTTCCATTGGGAGATAAAGATACTCATGTCAAATCAAGCAACTTCAATGCCAAGAAAATATTTCAAAGGACTGAGATCCTTAACATCAAACTGTGAAGCCAAGAATTTCTTTAGCTCTTGAATTTCTTCCTCCCAGTTTCCTATAATCACAATATCATCCACATAATCAGAACAGCAACCAGCTCACCCTTTCTTTTCACAAACAATGTATCAGCCTGGCACTACACAAAACCAGTCCACTAAACAACACTATTAAACCTCTCAAACCAAGCCCGAGGAGATTTTCTAGGCCATATAAGGATTTCTTCAACCAACACACCTTATCCTCAATGCCCTGCACCTAAAACCCAAGAGGTTGAACCATATATACTTCCTCATCAAGGTTGCCATTCAAAAACGCATTCTTCACATCCATTTAATGAAGATGCTATGAGAAGTTGGCAGCAAGAGATAAGAGTACATAGATAGAGTTCATCGTAGCAACAGGAGCAAAAGTTTCATTATAATCCACACCATGTGTCTGAGAGAACTCTTTTGCAACTAGCCTCACCTTATACCTTTTAATAGATCCATTGGCACAATGCTTTACTATAAACACCCACTTACAACCTATAGGCTTCCTTTTGGAAGATCAACAAGGTCCCACGTGTGATTTTTATGAAGGGCAAACAGACACGCTACAATTGGCAAAAATGAAGGCACGGTAATTAGGAGACAAATGGGCAGTGGAAGAAAAGCAGGCAATAGGATGCTTGGTACACATCCACACACCCTTACTAAGAGCAATGGGAAGTTCACTATCACAAGAAGGTCCAAAGGTACCTAAAAGATGACTAGCACAAGGATTTTCCACATGAGAGTCTGACAATAATTGTTGCACTTCAGCTAGTGCACCACACCTGTATTCAATGACTGATCTAATGATGGACTTTTGTAATGTTGCCAAGTATAACAGAAAAAAGTATAGTAAAGTGGCAAAGGTGGAGGCAGAGAAGACTACTGCCGAGTGTAGAGAGACTGGGCCGAATGGGCCTTAGCCCATAAGTGTCTTATTTAGTAGTTCTTTCTTGTTATTTGTTCTTAATGGGCCTTTTTTTTATGGGCCTTTAACTCTTGTTTATGTTTTCCAAGTATGTTGGTGAGGTGGACACTCAGTTAAGGGCAAACTTGTAAATTTTGTAACTTAAGTAAGATTAATAAAAGGTTAGTGTGGGGAAAAGAGGAGATTATCAAACTCCTTCTTTCTCCTTTCTTCTCCATTCTTCTTCTTCTCTACTTTTGTTATAATCTAAATTATCCTACCTTTTTTATTGGTCTGAATCACATCTTGGCATCAGAGCAGGCCTTCCTTCGCCTTTATCTTTTTTTCTTTTCTTTTCCCATACACCTTTTCTAATCGAAAGGTGTATGGAGAGAGAAATTGCTGATAATTCAGAGAACTTGTTTGCCTAAATCGTAGAGGGTTTAGAGAGTCAGAATCTGACTATAGATTGCCAAGAAAGTGGGACTACAGAATTTTTCTCCCAAAGCCCTAGTTGACTAGAGAGTTTCTAGTTACATGATAAAGAGATTGTTTGGGTGTGGCGCTCAAGGCTTGGAGGGTTCCTTTTTATCTCCAAAAGTGGGTGGTTGCAGTTGGAAGTGGATTGGATAGCTCTGGTTTGAGTGGCTACATCTTTCTTTCTCCCCGAAGGCCAAGTACAGTGAAACCCTAGTTTTGGGATTTTTAAATATTGGACTGACCTCAATTAGGTCTATAAAGGTTGAAAACATTGTTTTTTTATTTCCATTTGATTGATGGAGCAATCTGGAAGTGAGATGAAGAAGATCCCTGTGTCAGGGGTTGGTCCCGTAGATTCCATTCTGACAGGGGTGACTACAATTAAACTTGACGGAACAAATTACTTAGCTTAGGCACAATCTATAAAAATTCATGTCTATTGTAGAGGTAAACTAGGGTTTCTCACGGGCAATAAGGTGAAACCGGAAGAGACTGGTCCTACATATGAGAAATGGATGCAGGATAACTACACAGTTATTGGGTGGTTGGTAAATTCTATGCAGCCCCACATAAGTCAACACTATCTTTGGATGTCTTCAGCCAAGGAGATTTGGGATAATGTTACAGAAACATACTCTCAAAAATTGAATGTTGCAAAGGCCTACAAACTAAAGAATGATGTGAAAATTTTGAAACAGGGGGAGAAGAGTGTAGTTGTCTACTACTCGATGTTGAAGTCACTATGGCAAGAGATTGATGTTATGGAAGCAGTTGTATGGAAAAGCACCAAAGATGTAGAAACTTTCAGGAAATTTGTGGAAAGAAACAGGGTGTTTGAATTCCTTACAGGAGTTAACCCTGAATTTGATATTATGAAGCAGAATACTTGCTCAAGCATACTGTATGGTGAGTAGTGAAGAGAGCAAGAG